ATTTTCGAAATTCATCACGATATTCTGAGGATATACTGCGAATAATGTTGCTGCGGACATAGAAATATCATACGAATATCAGACGTGACCTTTTTAATATATTCTCAAAATATTCTCAGAATATAATGTGCTATCTAGGAAAAAGTGTATGTGTGAATTCAGTGGTGGAATGAAAGTCGTTTCGCATTAAAAAACCTAATCCTAATCCAACCCATTTTTTATTTTCGCGTGAAAAGTTGTACATTCAAGAAGCATAGTTTTACTAGGTTTACAATCTTCCACTCGAAATGAGGGCCACCTCACACCAAAAAATGAGTTAGGTTAGGGTTAGATTAAACCCCCCCCCCCCCCCCCCCCCCCTGTTTGGGGGTGCACGACTTCCACGAAGTGACTTTCAAAATCGTGATCCTGGGTGATCTCCAACAAGACTTGGAAAGTTGCTTCATGCGGAAGTGCCCTCCTCCTCCCTCCCAAGCAGAGGGAGGGGAGGTGGGATGGGAGTTGCTTTACGTGGAAAGTCATTACGTAAGCAAGGAAGGATGTAGGATAGTTTCTAATACTATATATAGCAGAAATAAAACGTTATTTTTTCAAACTTGTTTTGTTAATAACTTTTTAACGAATGACGAGCGACGACTAAAACTTATTGGAAATTAATCAGGGTGATGACCTTGACGACATATGTCAAGGTCATCGCGGGTGCTCTCCTTTTTTGCAGTTTTACCAAAACAAACATTCCCAGATAGCAAAGCATGTCTCAGTAAAATCGCACGAACAATGTGTATATGTATTGTCAGCAGTTTAACAGCAAAATAGCTGCGTCAATATTATCGTGCGTTGTCGGCAATACGACAGCATTGTATGATGCTGCATATTATTATGGCAACTTGATGAATAGTACAAATTTTGATAATGATGAGTTTAAAGTTGTCAGCAAATTGCTGGCAAGTTGCTACTTAATATTATCAGATCGTGAAGGCATCAAGTTGCCAACGAATGAGAACTCAGTTACCGCATTTCTAGTAGCAATACATACTTAGCAATGCATGCTTAGCAAACAACATGCCAACAACAAGACAGACACGTTGCTATCTGGGTTTATGACCAAAAAATTTTACACAAAGATGTTACACGGAAAAAAATAGATTTGCTGATTCAGCAAAGCTATAGCTTGCTACGCGAATTCAACATCTGTAGTTAAGAAAATTTGGTGGTTCAACAAAGAACTTATGTCTGTAAGCAGTCATCAGTATGCTCATATAACAAACTCATCTTTGGTAATATTATCATTGTATTGCAACAAATTAATTCAGTTGAAATAACTAATTTAATATGTTTGCAATACGTATTTTAATCTACGTAGCATGCTAAACGCGGGTCTCAAGTTGCAAACTTATAGACATAGTGTGACTTGCGTAACACACATATTTTCGGCTGTAAGACGCAGAACGCAGAACGCGAAAATTTAACTTTAGTGCATCCTGTGTTTATGTCCAGAACCTATATGTGACGTATAATTAGGTTAGATTAGGTTCTAACCTTGCAACCGCATTCTGCGTACTATGAAGATCCAGCTTAATACGTTTAAGTAACACTTTAAATAAAAATTGTATATACGTTTATTGTTGTATTATTCAATAATTCAAGAATTGCATTTTTTTTATTGTATTAAAATAAAAACCAAACTGTATTTATCAGAATATTTGTTGTCTTAATTAACTTGAATTGTTAGAGCAACCAATTCTTTGCTACAATGAAGATTGCTAATGTAATAAGTTTCTTTATTATAGCAGCAAAAGTATGCGCTATCTTAGTTAGCATGTTTGTTACAAATGTTGACCTTTATAATAGATTCATTTCTTCAGAAAGTTATCTTTGCTGTATTAACAAATTTGCTATGCTATTAGAACAAATATGATTAGTTACAATCTTTAATTTAATTCAGCTACACAAATTTGCTACTTTAACATAGAAAACTGGCTGTGCCTATATTACGGATGTAGATTTGCTAAATCAATGAAGTTTTTAACTGTTTTAGCAAATCTTTTTTTTCCGTGTAATAACAATAATAGTTTATAATTAATCGCAAAATCGCTACGTACTTCTTTAGATAATTAACAAAAGAATATTCTCTGAAAGTTTCAAGTGAATAAAATGAAAATTGTGAAAGTTATGATGTACACTGATTAGAAAAATGTCGTTTTAAGAAAAACGCGTTTAAAGTTTTCCAATACCTACGATTTTTCATATATAAAATTAAAAAATGTAAAAATTACCTTTAGTCTGCAATGTTTGCGCCATACAGTTGTTTTTCAAAATATTGACATAAACCTCTTCAGCCTCTTTCCGGTCTGATTTTAAAACTATGAACCTTTTTTTCCGCTTCGGTTAAAGAACACGCTACTTTGATGCGTTGAGCGTCCGCTTTCATGCAGAAGTTATAACAGTTACAGCTTATAGGCATCTGCTAGCACGTGTAGTACTAGTTTTACAATCTTTTTTTGTGGTATACACTATTCTTTTATCGCCTTTCATCGTAACAAATATATTTTCAAACGTGATAACGGATTTTCCAGCATGAATCGTCAAGCGCTGTTTGGCATATCTATTTACACTGAAAAATAGCTGTGTACTGACGCTACCCGAGTTATATAATGGGTAGCCAAAATTTCTACTGATATTTATAGTTACCTATTGCTACTATGTCTTTTCTGGTGAATCAGCTGCTCCGAACTTTCGGAGTCGCGTGCGGTGCGCCAATCGAGGGAACGCGCTTTAAAGAATCAGCTACAACTTTGCAAATATTTCGAATTTTCGATTCCAACTAATGGAGTTATATTTTTACATGTATAAATTATCATTTAAGCGAAAAAAATTTTGATTTTTCAAAGTTTCAAAATAGTGTAACCATTTAAAGAACTTCGATTTTTGTGAGTTAAAATGCTGAATTCTTGAAATCGCAATTTATTTTTCTTAAGCCTGTGTCCACACTCTAAATTTTTGTGAGTGAAATTTCACTCCCAAACTATCACAAAGAGTGATAGTTGCGCCAGTCCGACAGGAGTGAAATTTTCACTCTTAGAGAGTGAAAAATCACTCCAAATGGGAGTCAATTTTCAATCTATGTGGAGAGTGAATACATTTCACTCTCTGAAAGGAGAGACTGAAACTTCACTTTGATAAATATTAAGTTTAGCCTTCTTACGTCTAATCTAAAAATTATTAGGCTCGTTCGACGTGTTTTTGCACAAAATGAACGAATATGGCAGAAGAAAGCGTCGCTCTGTCTCGCGAAACGAGATATTAATCATTAAAGTTGATTTTTTAGGTCAGGTTAAGAAATTCACTCCTGGAGGAGTGAAGTGAAGTTCACTCCTTGTCGGATTGGCGCAACTATCACTTTTCTTGGAGTGAAATTTCACTCCCAAAAATTTAGAGTGCACAATGTTAGAAATCGCTCCAAAATCTCCGAGATCTCGAACGAAAAAAGAATTGACAAATCATATTTGAGCCATAATTTGAATCATGGTATAGAAATGTTCTTCATGATTTGAACTATTCAGTCACGTCACGATGCAACTGGTCAATTCTTTTTCGGTCAATTCGCGCCGTTGAAAATTTGTCAGAAGCGCCTACTTTGTTTCTGCGTAATTTTGATTAACTCTGATAGTGCCTCATTGTTTTCTCGTAGAAAATATTACTGATTCTTGCATAGAAGCAGCTGTCAAGGAATCCTCGGTTTCTTGGCTATGCGGAAAACGCACTTACTTTCTCTCTTTCTCTTTATACTAAACAGACCGCAAAATAGCCGCGTAAGCATTTGATTAAAAGATTTTATCTTATGGTGAGAGCCGAGATGCTGAGGATAAGAGAAATCATCAGACATCCAAAATTGAGAAGATTTAGGACGAAATGGCGGATTTTTATGTGGAAAGCCGTGCTTATGAGGCTACATAACCCTATAACCACTGCACTGGAGATAATTATAGCCATTGTCTTTTCATTACAGATACGTTTGATGTTTGAACCGCATGCTCTTCATTCACAGGTAGTCTCACTGGCAATTGTAAAGTTGGATAAACATATTTATCTTGAGACTAATATATAACTTGATTCTTATTTTTAATAATTTCTATATTATAATTTTATGTTATTCTTTTCATTTTTAATTAATATTGAAATTAATTTAGGGCCCGAATGTTCGGACGCGATCCCGGGTCGCGCGCGGAGCATCACTGCGTGCTAGTGAGTCGAATGCTCGCTGAAATGAGATAGCGCTCGAGAAGACCCGACGTCCACCGATCGTAATCGATCTCTGTTGATGATTTCGGCTACGGTGCGGTCGTGGGATTTAGACGCGGCGGGCACAGCATTTTTTCACTGACACATACACTAAACGCGGTCTGTTGAAAAAACGTAAACATTAATAAAACGCGGAGAAGATTTTTTTATATTACTTGGATATCGTTCGAAGACATTTTTTCTTTAAAATGCCAAAATCTGTACACAAAAAATAATCTCGAACTAATGTAGAAAATTCTCACTGCGCTTTGTGTTTACGTTCAAGATCGCGCGCGATGCTAGCTGATATAGATCCGAGATCGGCGGACGTTGAGTCTCCTTCAGTGCTATCTCATTTCAGCGAGCGTTCGACTCACTAGCAGTGGTGCTCCGTTTAGCAGTAGATCCCGACCCGGGATCGCGCTCGAACATCCGGATCCTAAAAATTATTCTATATCTATTGTGGTTTTAGAAACACCTGTTTCATTAGATATTAAATTGCATTGCAGTATAATTTATAGAATAATAAATACAGAATAATATGTTACACTATATAATTTTTATACACAAATTACTCATGTTTATGCTAAATATTTAATAACTGTTTTAATATTCTAATAATTGTATATTCTAATAAGTGTATATAATATCTCTTATATTTTATCTAAAGGATTTAGATCAATACAGTCGCAATGATATTCTAACAAAATTGCCAAATGATGTACAATGCTGGTATGCACCAAGAAATGCATTTATAGATGAATTAATGCTGAAAGCCATGAAAATGCTTCATACAAATAGTAAGATAATATCTCAAACGTGCTTATATGAAAGAGATTAAATAAAGGCTACATATTATAATACATATCAGTTCAAGCGGCCGACAGCGAAATTAACCTTGTACATTCACGTTACGCAAAAAATGACACTTCTAAAGTACTGTGGGCAATATTTGAGATTGATAAGCTCACATCTAGAAAGCCAAAGGTCTTAGAATATAAAATACGTTCATCTGAAATAGGCGAGAATCAAATGATTATGATGCATGAGGAAGACCCTGCCTATAAGGGTATCCTAAATATATTTTCATAAGTAAACATAGCTACACATAAATCTTAAATTAATTCATAAGTTATTCTTAAAGTGAATTTTACACTGAAACACATTTTGCACTTAAAAATCATTATTTACATTAAATATAAATCGTTTAAATTTATATTTAAATTTAATTTATATTAAATACTAATTATTAACATATAATTATAACAAGTATACAGTCAAGTTAATTTTTTTATGTAATGTAATATATGCATTAAGCACAAGTGACTAAAATATTTAATAAATTGTTTAATGTTTCTCGTCGAAGATCCATATATATTAAGTGGTTTCATGGCTCTGCAAATTGCGATTGAGAAATCTTTTGTGGAGATGTGGACAAATCCGACACTACCAAAGATCGCTGATAATGTAAGTACTTGAAATAATGAAATTGCAACAAAACTGATATCATTGATAACTGTAAGCAGAATGTAAAAAGCTATTGATAAGATTAGGCTTCTTTACAGCTAACTATTGGCCGATTTCCATTTTATAAAGTCAATTTTTTAATTTTACCGTATGTCATTCGACCTAACATAAGCATAATCTATTATGTGATGGTTATTGCTTTCCTTTTACTGCCAGCAGCAACGTTAAGAAGAGCACTTCACGATAAAGAAACTGGATTCAGAGTGTGCTTCTGTTAAATAAAATTAAATTTGTTTTTCGCTAATATACTAATTTCTCTTACGTTTTCGTACAATACCTGTTATTAATAGAAATATTATTTTAGGGTCTTATGAGATTAACAAATATATCTTTTACAATGTTGTATATCGGATGGCTCAATTATCTTATGATCATTCTATTACCCGTGACGATTGTATGCACAATCCTCCTGTTTTCTGTGTTTTCGGCTGCAAACGCGTTAGTCATTGCTATATTTATCATGATGTACAATATACTATCAATGTTCGTCATGTTCACCATCAGTACACTTTTCGACCATCGTAAGTCATTCAAATATGTGAGTAAAAGGAAAACACATTATATGCATGAATGCAAAAAATTAGCTTCATTGATAACTTAATCCAATACTCTCGCAATATTAATATAATTTGTATATACAATATACAGGGTGTTAGTTAAGTATCTCAAACTCAACAGAGCGATTCTTTGGTTTATTTCAAGTAAAAAAGTCCATATAAACATGTGTCCTAAACGACTTAATTTCCGAAATACAGGTGAATGTTCGCAAATGTTTGACGAAACGATAAATTGCGTTGGAGATATCTTCCTGCATAAATGCCTTGCTTCATGTGAGTTACTATTCGCACAACCGTAAACAAAGTGATAAAGTCAAAGTCAAAGTCACAAAATCAAAAATAGACTTCAGTCCTGATGTTGTTACGGGTCAGTTAGCTTGTACATACGTTTTCTAGCCAAATTGTTTCAATCCATTAAAATCGGTTTCATCATGCCTAAGTTTACAAATTTTGAAATGGCAGATATGCACTTTGCCTACGGTCTTGCAAATGGTAACTCACGGTAAGGCGAGGCGTATTTATGCAAAAAGATATCCCCAATGCAATTTACCATGTCATAAAACATTTGCGAATATTCACCGCTATCTTCGAGAAAAGGGTTCTTTCGTAAGGAATACTATTGATCTTGGAAAGCCTATGACAGTTAGAACACCAGTACTAGAGGAAGCCGTTCTTAACGAAATCGAAGCACATCCAGAAACAAGCACAAGGAAAATAGCTAGGACATTAAATGTGAGTAATTATGTCATCTGGAGAATTTTGAAAGAACAACAGTTATATCCTTATCACATTCAACGTGTACAGAGACTTTTACCATGTGATTTCCCACAAAGACTAGCTTTTTGTCAATGGATTCTTCAGAAACTAGAAGAAAATCCTCAATTCTTATCTCAAGTTCTCTTCACCGACGAGGCTAACTTCTCCAGAAACGCAATTATTAATTTTCATAATAACCATTTATGGAGTGACGATAACCCATACACGATAATCGAATCTAGGTTCCATCAACAATTTTCATTGAATGTATGGGTTGATATTGTTGATGATTTCTTAATTGGGCCCTACTTTCTTCCATTAAGATTTGATGGTGTATTATATCGGAAATTTCTTGAAGAAGATCTACCTCAACTTTTACAAGAAGTGCCACTCATGATGAGACATACAATGTGGTTCATGCATGATGACGCTCCAGCCCACTTCAGCATCACAGTTCGTCAATATTTGGATAGGATGTACAGGGTGTTGCAGATACATACTAGGCAGTACGACGGGTTGTGTGGCAAACTTTGCATGGGCAGACGCGTTTTATAGACAATGACAATGACTTTATAACATAAATAATAAAACTTTGTAGTATAAACTTTATAATGTATAAAGTCACTGTCATTGTCTATTAAACCACGCTTGGCCATGCAAAGTTTGCCGCGCAACCCGCTGTACTGCCTAGTATGTATCTGCAACACCCTGTACAATAATCGTTAGATAGGTCGAGCAGGAACTCAATCTTGGTCTCCTAGATCACCAGACTTAAATCCTTTGGATTATTTCCTTTGGAGGCATCTGAAATCATTGGTATATACCACCCCAATTGAGAATGAGAATGATTTGAGGAATCGAATAGTTTCTTTATGCGAGACAATACGTAACACACCTGGTATCTTTGAGCATGTACGTCAATCTTTCAGAAGAAAGCTCGATGGATATATCATGGCGCAAAGTGGACATTTTCAACAATTCATCTAATTGTTTTATTTCGTCAGAAGAACTGAAGCCTGTTTTTGTTTTTCTGTTTTTGACTAGTTTTTGACTAGTTCAAGTTGTATTTCTTTCAAATAAACAGATTATTACTACACGTTTAAATTTTTTTATTTCGGAAACTAAGTCGGTTAGGACACATGTTTATATGGACTTTTTTACTTGAAATAAACCAAAGAATCACTCTGTTGAGTTTGGGAACATACTTAACTAACACCCTGTATATATTTTTTTATAAGTAGGTACATGCAACTTTTATTTTTAAAAATCCTAATCCTTATTGCACATCATTTTATTACAGCTACGAAAGCATTGCTTACATCGGTTTTGTTTTGGCTCTTTTTGACGCACTTGACTATCGTTCTGGATCAGTTTTTGATAACAGAATCTATGTTATGGAGGATTAGTTCACTGATTCTGCCACATAGTGGTTTGCTTTATGGAATAGTAGCCTTCACGACTTACACGAATTTCGGTGATTCAATCTATTATATGATTTTAATGTAAATAATATGGCAATTGTTGAAAAGAATGACTTAATTGAAATATTTTATTTATATTTACATTATTTATTCAAATAATCAATTTTTGTTTGTATATATATTTACATATTTCTTTTTATAAATAAAACTCCTTTCACATTCGTTATTAAAAAATTTTTCTAATGCAAGTGCAAAATATAAATTACTAGCAAATATGTAAAACACAGAATTATATACGTTACGAAACGCACATTCCTGAGCGAGTTATTGAAGCGTATAAATTATACGCCAAAGCTGTATTTACTACAATACTTAAATCACTGACTGATCATAACCTGATCTTTTAACTAATAATTATGTTTCAAGGTTCTGCTAAAAAAGTAATACGTTTGCTATTTTTATAATATATAAATTTTTATAATAATATAAATTTATATAATCATATACTTATAATTTAAAAACCTGTAAAGATTCCATGAGCACAAAATTAATCACATCACATATATTATATAAATAATAAATAACATGCATTAGTTGTAAAGTATACATTATGTCATTATGACTTTTACACTGATAGATGACTATAGCGAAAATTTGAGAAACATCTGGCAACACACACAAGTAAAACCGCGCAATTACATTGGTCCTACCTCATACTTATGGCCGCGATGGCTTTCTGAGCTGATAACACTACGAGATGCCCACAATATCGTTCACGCCGCAGAAAAAATTTCTATTAGCTTGATTCTATTTGTTTGGATATTACATATTATTTTTTGGTATTTACTAGCGGTATACTTAGATAATGTTAACCCAGGAAAATTTGGCAGCGCAAAGCCTTGGTACTATTTATTCAAAGTAAATAAGGAATTTATAACTCTAATATATTATTACTCTTTAAATTATCTTATATAAGTGATATTAGTGCGTGATAGTATTCTCTATAAAGTTAGATTCATATTTTATATTTTTGGAAACACAATTTAATTTATATAACTTTTATAAGTAATAAATATAAGTATATTTCGTAGAAACCTGTTTATGATGACAATGATTTAATTATCCGAGGATCAACTAACTGGTCAGCAGTGGAGCACACACCATCATACATAAAGGTACAAATGGTGTTAAAATCTAAAGTTTGGTCATGCACAGTCTTAATATTCTATTCAGCCAACAAAATAATCGTACAGTGTCTCGAAATTGTACTTAAAACAATCTTGAATATAAGATCGGACTATAAATATCGCCACATTTTTCAAGTATACATACAAATATTTGTAATATCTATTTGAACTAACTATATGTATAGTAAAAATTATGCAGCATACATATAATTTTTATGATGTGTTAAATACCTAATTCAAAAGCAGTAATATACAATAATAAAAACATCTTAACATTCATATTATTTTTAAGAGGGAGATTATTATTATTATTATTATATAATTTGCCATTTGAGTCCAGACAAAATAATTCTTATAAAATATTAATAATTATTTATATCTTAATTGGCTATTTATCTTAGCTGAATTTTTGTATAATTTATTTATATGAACAATAGCCGTCTATTCGAGTGAGATGTGTTCGAAAGGAATTTGGTAGGATTGGCGAACGTATTACAGCTGTAAACGATGTAACAATCGATTTTTATAATCAAGAATTCAGTGTTATTCTGGGTCACAATGGTGCCGGCAAAAGTTGTTTGTTAAAGATAATAATCGGTATAAAAAAAATTATTTCACATCACTGACTTTGGCCTTCGAGGATATTGATGAAACTTGTTATATGTAATAGGAATGTACAAACCAACTCATGGCCACGTTTACTTGGAAAATGAAAGTTCTATATATCCAATTGGTTATTGTCCGCAGGAAAATATATTGGTAAATTACTTGACGACGATTCAGCATCTCTATATATTTGGTATGGTAAATATCCTTTGTTATTAAAAAACGACAGCGACAATTAATTTTTTACATATCAAGCATAACGATACCAATCTAAAATGAATATTTTAATACTGTAATTATTATTATTTAACATATAAAATATCAAGTTATGTAGATCTTTCTAATTAAAATCTAAGTTTTTCTTATAAGCGTTTAAAAATTTAGAACTAATAACGTTGGCTAAATTTACATATAAAAAATATGTTAAATAAGCATATTGATCTAAATAAGAACCAGTTTGCTAATACTATTTTCCTAATTGCCTGATTTGATATTTGAAAGCAAACTGTTTGTTTCTCTCTCCTGGGCTACCTACTAATTTACCATTCACTATTAGACAAGATGGAGAGAAAAACATAATAATGCATTTACTTAACTAACATTATATGAAATAACAGTGGCGCAATATATTTCCACACACATTATATGTTCAGATTTGGATAGTGCTCAAGTTATCGCGTGAATCACAATATATATACGCAATATATAAAAATTTATTAACAGCAGCTCTTATTTATTTATTATTATTTATTAACCATATGTTTTATATTTTACATAGAAAATGTTAAATATTAAATGTAAAATTAAATTAGCAAATTATTTTAATTTTTTTTTATATTATTTTTTTTCTATCAGAAATGATTCTTCGATCATAAAATGAATATTTCAATCAGAACTGTTATTGGTTTTTATTTATGTATTCAAATACAATGTATTTATGTAATTAACGTATCGATATGATCAAAACTATTGTTAGAACTTTGATTACGTCGGAACAAATTTTAAAAGTGTTAGAGAAATGTGTTCAATAAAGCAATTCTTACTTCAGATAAAAGGAATGACTTATGAAGATGCTTATAAGGAATCACTAAAGTTATTAAAACAGTTGGATTTAGAGTATGTGAAGGATACGAAAATGAAATCTTGCTCCTTTGGTACACGAAGAAGAATTTGTTTAGCAATGGCACTTATTGGCAATACTAAGGTATATTACTTTACTTATAACCAGGGTTGGGTAGTGCCAAGTTAAAAAGCTAAAAGTTAAGTTAAAAAGTTGGAAAGTTAAATAATTTTAACTTAACTTAGTTACATTTTAGACTCTTAACTTTTTAACTTTATTTAGTTACATTTTATCAATAACTATCAACTTTTTATTTAAATTT